TAGTGGTTATTTTGATTGTTTATGTGGAAAAAAGAAGAACGAATGATTAATTGCTAATTGATTGATTTATTTAAACGCATTAGAGATGCTCAATGGGAAGCTCGGTGCATTTAACTGTAAATGTGCTGCATCGAATCATTCATTTATACACTGAGCAATTCAGCCGGGCCTATTTACATGTCTGTTTCTCATTCAAGCACCACAGGAAACCAGCAGAGGAACATGTGTTATCGCTTTCCCTCAGTCTCCTACAACAACACGTGCACATTGATCGCCTCTCCATACCTTAGACTCCTCTCCCAAGAGATCAACACACACACCAGCATCTTAACATACAAGTATTTCTAACTAATCAATGTAAGATATCAACACGGATTTTCTGTTTTCATTTGACCAAAACCATTTGTTCGATTACAAGTAAAGTTAAACAATGCATTTCTTTGTGCTGTGTTTTTCCCCCTTGATTAATGAATTCAAGCTCATGAGAAGCAGCGTTTGCTCAAACGGTCTTGGAAAGATGAGAAAAACTGCTTCAAGCGTAAGAGAGAGAGATGGAAAGATGGAATATTAATACAACTAGCATAGATAATGTGGTTAATTACCGTGTAAGAGACTGCAGCCAAGTATTATATTAGAAATGGCAGTAAATTCAGAGACTGTACGCACACACACATAATCTCTCTATGCACAGAAAGCACTGCCAAGGGGCCGATAACATCTAGCTAAGGGCATGAGATGCTTCCAAGCACATCTGTGCACAGTTACAGCACATTTCCACACCAGTGCCATTAAGAACTGTCAGTCAATTATATGTGTGTGCACATTTTTGTACAGCTGAAAGAAAAATACTGTGCAACGTCAGCTTAAAATTCCCCCAAGTTTTGGACTAACATGCATGGAAACTGCAAGATTCAATTTCACCTGGAAGTGGGGATTTTATTCTTGCAGCACTTTTTATAGTAATACTGAGGGCTGGATTTGCACTAACCGGCCACTTTATTAGGTACACCTGTCCAACTGCTTGTTAATGCCAATTTCTTATCAGCCAATCACATGGCAGCAACTCTATGCATTTAGGCATGTAAACATGGTCAAGATGATTTGCTGCACTTTAAATCGAGTATCAGAATGGGGAAGAAAGATGATTAAAGTGACTTACTGGGATTACTCTACTTACTCTACTGGGATTTTTACGCACAATCATCTCTAGGGTTTACAGTGTATATTCCAAAAAAAATAAAATAAAAAATCCAGTAAACAAATGCCTTGAGAAAGGCCAGACTGGTTCCAGTTGATAGAAAGATAACCGTAACTCAAATAATCACTTGTCACAACCGAGGTATGCAGAAGAGCATCTCTGGATGCACAACATGTCCAACCTTGAAGCAAATGGGCTACATCAGCAGAAAACCACACCAGGTGCCACTCCTGTCAGCTTAGAACAGGAATCTGAGGCTACAATTCGCACAGGCTCACCAAAATTGGATAATAGAAGATTGGAAAAATGCTGCCAGGTCCGATGAGTTTCAATTTCGGCTGCGACATTCAGATGGTAGGGTCAGAATTTGGGTCAACAACATGAAAGCATGCATCCATCATGCCTTGTATCAACGGTTCAGGCTGGTGGTGGTAGTGTATTTGTCTGGGGGATATTTTCTTGGCACACTTTGGACCTATTAGTACCAATTGAGCATTGTGTCAATTCCGCAGCCTACCTGAGTATTGTTGCTGACCAAGTCCATCCCTTTTTGACTACAGTTGTACTCCTCTTCTAATAGCAGGATAATGCACCATGTCATAAAGTGCAAATCCTCTCAAACTGGTTTCTTGACCATGACAATGAGTTCACTGTACTCAAATGGCCTCCACAATCACTAGATCTCAATCCAATAGAGCACCTTTGGGATGTGGTGGAGCAGAAGATTTGGATGTGCAGCCGACAGCTGTGTAGCAACTGCATGATGCTATCAAGTCAATATGCAGCAAAATCTTTGAAGAATATTTCCAGTGCCTTGTTAAATCTATGCCACAAAAGATTAAGTCAGTTCTTACGGCAAACTCCGTACTAGTAAAGTGTACCTAATAAAGTGGCCGGTGAGTGTATTGCTCTTCAAGATCTCATTTCACATTTTCTGTCTTGATGTTGATTCCCTATACACCATCTTCAAAAAGAAATAAGAGAAATAATGAGGTATGTTTGTGAAAGGAGAAACAGTCACAATTTTTTTTTCTGCCTCCAGAAATGATAGAAGTTATGTAGCGTTTCCTTGCACTTACAAGGGAAAAGCTCGAATGAGCGCCCTCAAAGTTTCATACCTTTTTTTGAGCTCCAGCTAAAATATAGATATTAAAAACTCCTCTGCGTTGAAATATTCAAATGCCTTTAGCTAGCCAAAAGAACATCCGGCTAATATGTTTGATATTTTTTTCATGTTTAAGAGGCAGGATCTGAATAATTGATTGCTACTTTTTAATGACCTGAAGATAATGTGGAACTGGAGCGAAAAGAGGCCGAATGTAGGCGGTAGAGAAATGTGGAGAGGAAAGGTGGTCAGATAAAAAAAAAAAAACCAAGAGGGATTGTGGGAGGGGGATTTAGGTCTATGCATCAAAATCTCTTTGTAGATGGAAGACGACCCCCAGAGCAGCATGTATCATCTGCAGATCTCAGAACTTGATGAAACCCAAAAGCAGAATCGTGTGGTTTGTACAAAGCTGCGCAGATGCTTTCATGTCGACCGTTATATCAAAGTGCTACAAAAAGACTTTGTTAGATGGTTAGATCTGTTTGATGGGCGCTGCCTTTTGTCAAACTGCTTACAGCTGAATTTAACTTGTTGCAAATTGATGAATTTCACACTGCGTTTGAACTAACACTCAATTTCTGACTGTATCTAAATAATGACACTATGAAATAGCCACCCAGTTTTTTCAGAAGTAGGCTACTAGTTTCCAAAATATTTTTTGCATTTGATTTTTCTCTGAGGGATTGTAATGGATTGAAACCTATTCATTTACCTACTCTGTGATTCACAACATTACAGAGTTTAATTAATAAATCTGATAAAAGAACAAAAATATAATATGGGTATTTAAAGGGACCAAAAACTGAAATTGATACCATCATTTACTTGTTCCAAACATTTTTGAGTTTCTTTTTTCTTGTTGAACAGAAAGATATTTTTTTAGGAAAGTTGGAAACCTGTAACCATTGACTTCCATTGTAGGAAAAACAAACACTATGCAAGCCAATGGTTACAGGTTTTCAGCTTTCTTCAAAATATCTTCTTATAAATGACCTAATTGCAAAATTGGCTGCACGGTGTTGCAGTGGAGACCACGATTGCCTCACAGCAAGAAGGTAGCTGGTTTGAATTTTTCTATGTGGAGTTTGCATGTTTTCCTCGTGTTCACGTGGGTTTCCTCTGGGTGCTCAGGTTTCCCCCAAAAGTCTAAAAACATGTGGTATATGAGAATTGGGTAAGAAGCTAAATTATCCGTAGTGTATGGGTGTTTCCCAGTGATGGGTTGCAGCTGGAAGGGCATCCGCAACGTGAAACATTTGTTGGATAAGTTGGCGATTCATTCGGCTTTGGTGACCCCAGATTAGTAAAGAGACTAAGCCAAAAAGAACATGAACGAATGATTGAATGGGTTAAACAAAATTGTCCAATCACCGGCCACTTTATTAGGTAAACCCAAATGACTCCCTTTTGCCTTCAGAACTGCCTTAATCCTTCATGGTATATATTCAACAAGGTACTGGAAATATTCCTCAGAGATTTTGGTCCATATTGACATGATAGCATCACGCAGTTGCTGCAGATTTGTTGGCTGCACACCCATGATGCAAATCTCCCCTTCTACCACATCCCAAATGTGTATTGGATTGAGATCTGGTGACTGTGGAGGCCATTTGAGTACAGTGAACTCATCATCATGTTCAAGAAATCAGTCTGAGATGATTCGTGCTTTATGATATGGTGCTTTATTCTGCTGGAAGAAGCCATCAGAAGATGGGTACACTGTGGTCATAAAGGGATGGACATCGTCAGCAACAATACTGCTCAATTGATACTATCGGGCACAAAGTGTGCAAAGAAAATATCCCCCACTCATTACACCTCCACAATCAGCCTGAACCGCTGATACAAGGCAAGATGCATTCTTGCTGCAGTAGATCGTTTTGACTGTGTCTACATGCCTAAATGCATTGAGTTACTGCCCTGTGATTGGTGACTTAGAAATTTATGTTAACGAGCAGTTGGACAGATGTACCTAATAAAGTGGCCTATGAGTGTATACAATCAATCGAAAGGCTCATAGCTTAAAACAGGTCTGCCTTTAAATGTTTATCATTGTTTAAAACCAACTTTCCTATTGAAAAAAAATGAGTTTGTACTTTGGGAACCTGACTTTTGCACTCCAGTGTCCCATAATCTTACTATTGTTATTAAATCGGATCAGTAATTTAGTCAAGACTTAAAAAAAATGGCTCCACAACAGCACCTTAAACCTGCTGGTCTCAAACCAAACTTTGATTTAATTTGAAAGAGGGTGGGGCATAGAATAACTCCTCCCTTTAAAAAACAGCCAATAGTGTTTCGTTTTTATCACAGCTCTGCCAGTGAGAGTGGTTTAACTCAAGCGCATCAAATGAAAAGCAAATGAGAAGCGTCTTGAAAGGGCAGAGCATGTCAGATACCAGAGAGCATTTGATTGGTCAAGATTTGAAGAACTGAAGAGTGAGGTGATGTGAAAAAAAATTGTTGATCCATTTAGGCGGAAGTGACAAACTGCACGCTATACATGTGTATATCAGTCTTATATACTCTAAATGCAAAATATGTCATTGTTTTGTACACTGAAAAAAATGATTTAGCCCTCTATTAAATTAAACATAATTCAATTTAGTTTATTTTAAACAATTTAATTTAGTTGTTGATTTTATTAAATTATTTTTAATCAGTTTTAAGTGAATTAGATGTGTTTTGAACCAATCTAAAGTAATTAATTAAAGTCTATTAGAAAAAATTATGTTAGCTTTTTGCGCATGCGCGTTATGTTCCGTTGCCTCGGCGCCAAAGCCCAAAGGAAGCTTTACAGAATCCAGTCAGATAGAAGCAAGACGCCAGAGCCGGATTTCTGTACATCCATTTGCACAGTAAGTCACATTTTATATTGTACCAGACTGTTTATTACAGAAAAAACTTTGTGGGTAACATAGACGCATAAAATGGTCTCTCGTTCGGACTGTCTATTTTGGTCGTTTTTAAATTTCACAGCGACCAGCCGTCGAGCGCGCTCGCAAGTTAAGCTAACAGTTAACGTTACACACGGTTTGACAAATCTCGCTTTTATGTCGCAGAATATATTTAAGATTCTTTTTAGCAAGAATGTAGTTATGTAGACTTGATATATAATGTTTTTTAATGAAGTAAATGGCTATTTTCAAGAGAATAAGCATTTTCTTTGATGTGACGACAGTGTCCGTGATCCGCCATTCCAAACGAAAAAAGCTTCGTTTCTAACGTCAGCTCAGTCCTTTGTGAATTTACCGTGGCTTTTACTATGGTTAACAATAAACATGCGTTTAGATAGTTGTGAACGGACAGTACCATACTGATTTTGTTATAGAACGATTTGGTCTGGCGTTAGGGCACTACTGACTGTCTTAGGAGGTTGTCGAATGTGTGCCCATACTGGCGTAACATTAACTTTTAACGTAAAGAGCGTCCATTTATACAGTTCTTTATTTTTTTACGTGAGATGCTGTAATTATGTCTTTGGGGTTATAATGCTCTTAATGGGCTAACTTATATTCACAGCAAGTGTTTATCAGCCACCGATAAACGTCCAGCGCAAGGTTAACTTAATGTGACTTTTTCCATATTCATAAAGTGCCTTTTACATCAACGATAATGTAATTTATTTAAAATAATATTCTTTAAATAAGCTGAAGCAATCCTTTAGTTGTTCAAACGTAAAACACATGCAGACGAGTGCTAAAACTTCATGGAAAATATTGTGGTTGAAGACATGGCGTTGAAGAATGGAATTTAATGCAGTGCTTTGTCTGGTCTGAGACCCACTTTATATCGTATCAATCAGGCAGTGACGATTATCTTAATCATATTAATCACGTTCAGCAATTTGTTCAATAAGTAATTTATCTAAATGTTTCCTAATATAATTAATCGGTAAACAATATGTTGATTAAGAAGTTGGTCATGTTGTTACTTGTGCTGAATTTTGAACCTAAATGATAATCATGTGCTTCCTTTCATTTGAGGTACTGTACAAGTTTCCTTTGCTGAGTTCCTTGGTCAGGGGTTAAACACATTTTCTGTCCAGTACTGCAGTTGGAATTTTCCACACAACATTTTTATGGTAAGTAACTGCAAAACATTTATCACTACACATTACAGTAAACAGTTTCTTAACTGAATATGTTGCTCTGAAAAATCTAAATAGTCCCAAAAAAGGAAATTTACTCACTATTCACTCACCATGTTTCCATGGTTCCAAACCTTTGAGTTTCTTTTATCTGTTGAACACAAGACAAAATATTTTGAAGAGTGTTAGAAACCAGTAATCATTGACATTCATAGTAGGAAAAACATATTATGGAAGTCAATGGTTACCGGTTTTTATCATTTTTCAAATGATCTTATGTTGTGTTTATCAGAACAAAGAAACTCAAACAGGTTTGTGACAAGTGAAGAATAAGTAAATTTGTTGTTGCTTCCCTAGTTTTCACAGTACTAGGGTGCAGTAAGAGCACAAACACAGAGTTCAACTTTGATTCAACTCTGTGATTCTCTCAAGAGAGCCGACCAAAATGTCTGACCTGCCATATAATGATTCGACTATCTGCCGACCAAGAGAGGTTATTCACCTTTTTTTTCCTCCTGTACATTGCATCAACACAGCACAGCAATATCAAAGTTGAAATTTAATTTGATTCAAAGAAGAGTCGCATCAGAATTTGGCTCAATTGCACAATGCACATTCGGCCTTAAGCCTGGTTTGTACTTCTGCGTTGAGTGATTGGCGTGACCTACGGCGCCTGCCCTGCGTGCAGCTGAGCACTTATACTTGTGCGCGCTGTTTGTGTTGTTCTACAATAACACTTACCAAAGCAGTAGGTTTATATGTTCCCTCTGTATGGAGTTTCTTCGCTTGGGTTTTGTTTTTTCTGAACACTACCTTAATGAACGAGAAGATAAAACTCGCTCATTCTGAGACGGGAGCCGGCGGTCATGCAACAGCTTTAATCATAAGGTAAACACAAAGCAACAGTTTCCACCTGGAGCTATTTCATGGGACTTTACACTTGTAAACACTCGCTCCAATGGGTTGGCGTGGCTTTCAACCCCGCCCACACACGTAAGCGCTACCAAGCCCACTAATAGAGCGTGCACTACGTGTTGTTGCGATGTGTAGTTACATTTTTGGAGAGATGCGCCACGGCAAGGGCTATTCGACTGCGCGCAGGCTGTGTCGGACCATACACGTGCATTTGATGCAGAAGTATAAATCAGCCTTTACATGTCTTTATCTTGGCTGAACAAGTTAAATTACAAGGTAGTCGAAAAAAGAAATCACTTTAAATATAGTGTAACTAAACAAACTATTCACAAGTAAACAGTCAGTTGATTAAATAAATTTGAGTATCATTATAAATGTAATATACATGTAAGGGACAATCGTCAGATTTAGGTGTGTTAAAGGATAATAAGTGCACAACATCGAGGCAAAGTTTAATGTTTAGATTATTACTGTAAGTTGAAATTTAATATAGTTTTAATTTCTAAATATAACATTTTAAAAATAAATATATAGGCTATGTTCTGAATAATGCTCATGTCCATGCTTGTCATGCCACATACATACTTATATTCTATGTATTTGACGATGCAGTCAATGCATGCACTGAAAAAAATATGCTTATAGGCTACCTTTACCTGCAGGTTTCGCTAGCTGGGCAAAACTTAGATAGGCTATTAATAATGGATATACATTAAATATGTATAATTTTATTTGTGAAAGCAAGAGAGAAACTTGTGGGTGTGCTGTAATAAAGGAGTCTTAAATGACTAACAATTGTGCATTGCGGTAACGTGTTTTATTCGGGACATGGCATATGACATAAATAATCGATAACATTTGAGCTGGTTTCAGTTATTAATTCTTTTTATTTTTTAAAATATATTTATTTAACAGGTGGCGCAGTGGGAAGCCCTCTCACCTCACAGCAAGAAGATCGCTAGTTCGATTCTCGACTGGATCTGTTGGCATTTCTGTGTGGAGTCTGCATGTTCTCCCCGCGTTCGCATGGGTTTCCTCCGAGTGCTCCGGTTTCCCCCATAAGTCCAAAGACATGCGGTATAGGGGAATTGGGTAAGTTAAATTGTCGTAGTGTATGTGTGTAAATGAAAGTGTATGGATGTTTCCCAGTGATGGTTTGCAGCTGGAAGGGCATCCGCTGTGTAAAACATGCTGGATAAGTTGGCGGTTCATTTCGCTGTGGCGACCCCAGATTAATAAAGGGATTAAGCCGAGAAGAAAATAAATTAATATTTATTTAACTTAATGTTAATATAACACTACTGATGATTTTTAGCTGAATCTGTGGTACATGGTTCTTCAAATTATGGCAGCGAATGAGGATGGGTTTTACAGTTTAAGAATATGCCATGGCTTTAGTCCAAATCTAAAGCCATGGCTCCTGATGAAGGTCCTGTAAAGTGAAACGATTGGTCTGTGTAAGAAATGTAACATTATTTGCAATATTAGCATTAATCCACGGCCTGGTCAAACAGATGGTTTTTGGGTTGTGAGACATTTAGACGAAGTTGTCGGCGATTCTTCCAGTTGTAAAGTCATGCAATGTTCAAGTCCCTGTCGCCGATCCATCTTGCAGTGAAAATAAAGCAGCAACGACTACTTTCAAAATCATGCAGTCTGAACTCGGCATTAGTTAATGATTAAACTTGGATATCGACACGTCTCTCTGCAACTGGATAATGGACTTTCTGACTAAAAGACCTCAGAATGTTAGATCAGGCCACATCTGCTCCACCATCTTCACACTTAACCCTGGTGTACCACAGGGCTGTGTGCTGAGCCTCTTCCTCTACTTCTTTTTTACTATCAACTGTAGGCCTGTGAATAGATCCAGCATCATCAAATTTGCAGATGACACCACAGTGATTGGTCTAATCAGCAATAATGATGAGACGGCCTACAGGGAGGAGATACATCATCTGTCCACTTGGCCACTACCAAGCCGACCAATCACAGAGCTTGCGCTACGTGTCGTTGCGATGTGTAGTTACATTTTTTGAGAGGTGCACGTCAGCGACGCCGACGGCCACGGCGAAGGGCTATGCATCAGCGCCGTAGAATTGGCGTGCGTTTGACGCAGAAGTATAAATCAGCCTTAAGGAACAGCACTTTCCTCAGAGCTGTCCCTTTTTAAACTCTATCCCCCACTAATTATTTTGCCCTCCTAATACACCCCCACTGTCCTCATAACTTGTACTCCTCATTATCATTGCACTATTTAACATTTGCTCATTTAAAAGTTACAATTTCATTGCACTACATTAGACTGATTCATTCATTTAAACTATACATATACTGTACACTTGTAATTGTTTGTTTATCTGTCTGTACACTTCTGATTATTAATACCAACCTGTACATATAATAATTTATTTTAAATCTCTGTTCATAGCTAATACAACCTGTATATAATGTTGATAGTACATCCATCTGTAAAAATCACTAAAGTTTTTCTATATCTGCACTTTATAACTTATACCTGTATACTGCACTTGCTGCTATTGCACTGCTGGTTAAACTGATTTTCGTTGCATTGTACTTGTACATGTGTAATGACAATAAAGTTTAATCTAATCTAATACATTTCTTAACGTTTTCCAATTTGTCATTTATGTATTTAACTAATCAAATTTGTATTATTTACAGACAACCGATGTCCATGTCAAAAGAGCGTCTATTCTTCAAGCTCTCTTTACTTACCTTGGTGAGGATGAGGCATGCCTGGTGAAAGAATACATGGTGAGTGCATCATAGTACTAGTGCTTGCACCTGGGCTATAAGAAAGAACTGCTTTGTTCAGAGGCTGAGGGTGGGGTTACAGTGGCCAATGAGACAAAAACTTTTTTGAGTGCCATATTTGAATTAATAGGTGAACCTAATGTTGAACACATTATGGTCTATTCAAATCACATTGCGCTGCACAAACACTTGCTAGATTCGTGCAAGTAAGTTGCATACTAATTCAATGCAAAAGTATGAATAGAACAATGAACAAAATATTTTAATATCTCAAAAACAAACTTTATAATTTTAAAGAATTTAAAAATAGTGTTTTCACTGTATATGTCAATGGCTTTTTTTCTTTTTTCAAATGCTTTCTATTTCCATATATTTGTACATGAAGTAAAAAAAAAATGCCATTGGTCACTACACGTGTAAGAGCAACCTATTATCTTTTGCCTCAAACTCTTGCATTGTAATGGTAATACACACTGTTATTGAACCGTGAGAAAACTATCAGCTTGTTGAGTGTGACATCCCATCGCTTGACTATATCAAATAGTATTGGGAGACTCAACAAATGGTAATAATAAACATTTGCAAAGCGATGTAATACTTTTTGAAAATCGCAATATATGTGCCTAATATTAGTATGCCTAAAAATACTAAATGATTAAAAGTTGCATATGTTTCTTAATCCTTTGACGTTCTCAGCATTGGGTTCAGATCTGTGTTGGACCCCAGAGATATTCATTGTTTAGTCCAGGGGTGTCCAAGCTTGGTCCTGGAGGGCCTGTGTCCTGCTAAGTTTAGTTCCAATTCAATTAGACACACCTATGCTAGCTAATCAAGCTCTTACTAGGTGATCTAGAAACTATCTTGCCTCAACACACCTGCAAGGATGAGCTAAAATCGGCAGAACACTGGCCCTCCAAGAAGGAGTTTGGACACCCCTGTTTTAGTCTTTCTAAACAGTATTATTATTTCTAAATTACAAACAAATAGTCACAGAATTACAAGTAAACCATTTTTCTCCAAAAAAGAGAAAATTTATGTTTATGTTAAGATTAAAATTACTGTTTAAAAGCAACTTGACTTGAATTACATTTTTAGGTCAATGGGTGGCCGTACTAACAATCAAAAATGTATTGCTGAATAATTCTTAAAAAATTTTTAATCTAATAATGAAACATGACGTTTTTTTAAAGTTTAAATTTGTATATTTACTTATACATTTAAAATATACTTAATATATTTAAATTATTTTGGTTTAATTAATGACACGTAAAAATACTAATTAAATAAATATACATGTCTATTAATTTGTCCAATTAAATTAGTTTTATTATCATTGTACTTTTTTTTTATTATTTGCAGAGGTCCTGTGGGTCTTTGAAAAGTCTTAAGTATTAAATTAGATGTTTACAATTTAAGGTCATAAAAAGTCTTAAATTTTGCATCAAGGTGGGACATTTCTACTGAATTTCATTCGCTGATGTTTATTTTACTTGTGCACAATTATTCTTAAGCCTTGTGTGCTGTTGAGGATATTAATTTGGCGACAGATTTCTTTGTTTGAGCTCATGAAATGATTTTTGGTGACATGTTATTTTTACTCATATTTTGGGAAAATGCTTTTAAATTTAAAAACCTCAACAATTCACTCTGGGCAAATGTATTACTTTTTTGTTATGTTTGTGGCTGATTTTGCCTCATTGACTTCCATTATAACAATATTCTTTAATTGCAAGGTCATGACAGTATATTAAATATTTTCGATCTTTAATGGTTTTTCTTGTTAGGAAAAGGTAAAATTTGTCATTTTTATAGTTGATCATCAGTTGCAGAGCAAAACATTGCAAAGGTTTGTGGTTTTTATATAGAGTTATACAGAGTATTGTGTGTGTGTGTGTGTGTGTGTGTGTGTGTGTGTAAGTGCGTGTGTGCGTGCGTGCGTGCGTGCGTGAGACTTGCACACATTGTTTTGAAAGTTGCTTATTTACATTTTTTCAGACATATAGTAAACATAGTAAGTGTATTTATGCACACATACACACACACACTATCATTTACTGTTTATACTCCAAAGAACTCCATATAAAAGCCAGAAACTTTTTTGCACAGGACTATCAAAATGGTTATGCTGTCAACTGATCATCAACATTAAAAATTACAAAATGTACATCTACCGAAAAGGGAAGAAAACCAGCAACAATGCGTGATTACATGCTGTCATGGATTTGCATCCAAAAAATGTTATAATGGAAGTCAATGGGGCAAAAAAAACAGCAACTAACATAAGGAAAGGGTAGTAAATATAAATAATACAGAAGGGTTAAGGTGAACAATTATGACCAGGTATATTGATATACAGTGGGTCTGATCAGAAGGTATTTCCACATTCAAGTGGCCAAATCTGTGGTTTTCAAGCCTTAAACCTTGTGTAATATTATTTAAATAATAATGCAATAATGCTTCCTTGACATTATATTTAGTTTTCAACATATTACTGTATTGTTTGCCTTTCAATTATTTTTTCCAAAATTATTTTTAGTTAGTCTTAAAAGATCTTAAATTTACCCTGATAAAACCTGAATAACCCCTGTAAATAATTGTGAAGAAGTCGTACTTGCAGATCATGCACAAATATATGTTCGCCAATATGCAATCATAAATGATATATACAATAGTTCACAGGTATCAATGTGGGTGTGGGGAGGGCCGTTAAGGTTTTGGTTTTATTTACATTTGATTTCTTCTGACTTTTTACAAAATATGTTTCAAAAACAATGTCTAATAATGGTTTCTTTTTATTTAAATATAGGGCAACCAAAAAGAAGAATTTTTGAAGGACCTGACAAACACCACCATGTTCATATGTGTCATCAAAAAGGAAAGAGGAGATTATGAGGACATTGGCATCGTTGTGGATGGAACAGTGATTATTGAACAGATAAAATCTGTTGCACAAGCCTGTGCACTGATGTTGGGGGCAATTTATGTGCTTGATTTGGCCTACCAAAAAGAACTCAAATACTATTGTGAGTTTGCCCAAAAAGTACTTGTGCAAATGAACTCTGACAAGCTCTCTTCAAAGGTTCTCAGACTGGAAAACAGTGTGATACTGTAATTTTAAGCATTGAAGTGTTGATAAATGCTCAACAACCAAATGTATATCATATACAAATT